ATATATGCTCCTGGCATATTTTTTTATCCTTCAAGGATTATCATGTAAATTTCACTATTAATGATCCTCATCCATGGGTCATAATAATATCTAACAAGTACATTTCATAACTGCCAAACTATTCAAATATGTAAAATTATATCCACTACAAAATAATATGTTTCATCATAATCATTTGTGAAAATCTATATTTTCACATAAACGTCCATATTTATAGAAACTTTATATTTCATGTGTTGGGACTACAGGCTCATTTTCACATATTGAAATGATATTTTCATCACATCCTTTTCCTTTTCCTTTTCTTCTTGGCCAAATTTATATTACTTTGTATGATAGATCTATACGTAAGATCTTCTTTTTATCATGTGATATTCTTATGAAAATCATTGTCGACAACTTTACCTTTTCGGTTCCATTTTTTCTTTTGTGACATAACTTGTTGAGATCTCTTTCTTTCTTTTCAGATACCTGAACCTCTTCTGGGGTTTTATAATTAGTTATGTCCTGACACTCTTCTAGAGTATATGCCTCCTCAATACAACTTCTAAGTTGTATGCTCCTCTTTATTCAAAATATTTATATTGGAACCGATTAACCTCCCATGCTTCTGGCATGTCTTAATATTTAAAATAATTGGAGCATTTTTAGCTAGAATAAGAGATTTAAAAATTTTCACTCAAGTCAGTAAAATATTTTGTAGTATTTCATGAATGCAATTTTGATGAACTTCTAGTCCATACTAATATATTTGAGGATCTATATTTAATAATAATAATGCATTCCATGCATTCTCTTTTCCAGCTACTCAACTTCTCCCCCTCATGTTAGGAAAACTTTGTCGAATAACAGTCAACTAATTATGTAGTATAAGTCTCCTAAATCCATTTGCTTCTTTTAGGAACATTATTTTGTTCCATTTAAAAATAAACAAGAAGAAGGAGGTTCTTACCCAACATATGTCCCAACTTTCTTTAAATATCCATCTATGTGCACTGTGGTGGATTGGTAAGAATAAATATTGCACATTTCAATCTTTAGATGGAAAATATCTTGCTCCTAACCAAAAGCCAATTTCATTGGGAGAATTTTGTTGCCTTGATGTCTATAAGTGCTGCAATATATCAAATATGCCAACACTAAAATAGGAAAATTTGTTCTCATAAATATTGATCAAGCTATTCACGGAGACATCAATAAATGATTTTACTAGATCAATTTGTTAAGCAGGCTTTTCAACATTAAAAGCCTGATATATAAATTTACTAGCATCCTTGAAATCAAGTTTTGGGAATCACATAGTCTGGAAATATTTATCTAAATAATCTTGCAAACTTCAGGTTGCAAATTAATATCAATCACACATCTTACCATTTTATATAGATGCATCTATCAAATATTAAATACTTGTATGGCTTATGTGCTTCTAAATGGGCCCATATATATTTCCAGAAATATAGTGATCCATTCGAAAACAAAACATAACTAGTGACATTTTATAATCAATTTTCTTTGAGAACAAGCAGCACATACGGATTCTTAAAAATGTTGGCTATTCGGAAGAATCTTCTGGTTCTTCAATGGATATCAATACATAATCTTCAGTAATTATATAGTTTAAGATGATCAAACAAGTCATGCCAACAATAAATCTAATTATATCAGTAAACTTCTGGTTTACTGTATCATGTTTCATTATCAATAATAAACTTTTCAATATAATATATGATTGATGATATCCATTTATGAAATTGATATGAAAAATATATCCAATATCAACTCATATTTGTATTTCAACAGTTTTTCCCCTCAAGATTGAGTCATTCAAATATGATTCATTTATTCATATATTTTATAAATAGCTGCTAGCATAAAATAGGTTAAAGCCAATAACCTATCTTTTGCTTGGAAGCCCAAGTACTTCCTAGTTTATATATAGTTACGGACTTTAATCCAATTATACTATAATATTTACACTCTTTGGAGAACCAAAGTTGCGATGTAGATCTATGGATCATATTTTTCACTATCAATACTTTGTCTGCTCATAAAGAAAAAATCAGTATTAGTTCTTCTGGAACTATATTAATACTATTACATCGAGTTCTTCAGGAACTATATAATTTAAGAGGAATATGAAAGACAACTCTATTTCAATATATTATTAACATAATAACAAATAATTATGAGTATCATAGATTTAACTTGCAAGACACATCGAAAACACACAAAAATGATGGAGAACATTTAAAATGAACTTTTAAAAGTAAAGTACTTAACGTTCAAAACATTTCAATATTGATCAGCATACTATATACATTTAAAATATTCAAAACTAATATTGAATTAAGATATAAATAAACAAAATATAACTAGTAACTTTTGGGTCTATTTGATCTATTTAGTTTTATACCACACATTTATCAATATCACAATATCAAATTCTTATAACAATTTGTTTATCACAAATCATGATAAATTTAAAGACTGGTAGAAATTAAACATTATACATATAGCTTTATAGGCATATACTTATATGTTTTCTATTTTTATATATACTTTGGATATCTATCTTTCTTCACAACTTATTGCCTTTAGACATTAAAATTAGCTTCGATATTTTCATAATATTACATGGTCTTTTTGATTCCACAATCATTTTTCTTTAACATTTGCTTTTCAATGAACTGATATATATTTGTCTATATGACTTCTGGTCATATTATAACAGTTATTCATAATTTTATCATATTGATCACAGGACTATTACTAATTCTGCTGTTATGATTCAATAGCCAAGCCCCAAGATTATTGTCCTTTTAGTTATCAGTTCCACTGATAGAATGTGATCATACTCTTTATCACTCTTATGAATATATTCTTCGCTTTCAATAACACACCATCAATTTTCTCAAATATTAGTCTTCCGGACTATAACAAAATTTTCAGAACTACAAAGTTCTTTTGTATTATTTCATTTTTAGCCATCAATCTTCAAGACTTTGATATAGATTATCAAATTGTGACAATTTTGTCATGCCATCTGTTACTACCACAAGATAGTCTGTTATCAAATAATCATCAAAACGTGATGTGGCTTCTGGCTATCTAATCACAAAATCAAGAATATAATGGCTATTAGCCATTCATTTATATGTTTAACATTCTACTTTTCAAGATAACAATTAACCAATATCAGAGATGATAATCATATATAGTAATTTTATAGATAAACAAAAACATCATAGCAAATCAATAAGTCTTAAGGATAGTAGGATTATAAAAATATAAGAAAAGTAAGAAATAAAAATTTTCATATCTCAATACGATAAATAAAATATTTGGTTGCCAATGAATCAGTATGGTTAAGACGCAAAACCATCATTTCCTCTAAATAAATTGGAGAAATCTTACCAAACTGTTCGGATCAAACTATCTTTATTCAACGAACAAAACTTCAACGTGTATCAACTAGGAGCCATGGATTCTGATGGTAGAGTCTCGTGCTGATAACGTGTTATGAAATTAACCAACAGTGAAAGTAGATTGGAGAAGAGAAGTAGACAAGAAAATGAGAGAATGATATTGTATTCCTTGCTTTGCTTCACTTGCCTCACAATACAATGACATGCCTTATTTATAGGCATAGTCTCACACATAAGTTACATTTGTACTTAAATGATAGATAGTGGACAATAAACCATATGAATATGAGTGGGGGGGAGTTACAAGATTAAAGACATAGTGGAAAGGTAATGGAGTAGTGGAAGATTAATGCCTAGTGGAAGTAGTGGGAGTTGATGATGAAGTTGAGAGGAAGAGGAAGAGGAAGAAGAGGAGATGGACATCCACATGTTATAATATTCATAACATAAATTAAATTTTCAATAATCATATAATTGTAAACTGCATTCAGTCCCGCTGGTAAAAAAAAAAACTATATTCAGTCCCTAAACTAAATAGATTACTTTGAAATACTTATATTTATTATTTTTTAAAAACTAATTTACATGATTTATAAATATATATAATCTAATAATATATATAAATATTTTTAGATCATATAACATATATTATAATTAAATACTACCTCTGGTCCTTAATATAAGGTTTTATTTGACTTTATTTTTATCATAAATATAAGACCCCCATCCATTTTATCTTTCATATTTATGCTTCTTTTTAAAGTAGTCCGTCTAATAATGGTAATTTTAGCTAATACATTTGATTGGTAAGGATATTTTACGAACGATAACACCTATTTATTACAAATAACTAACTTAACTTATTTTCTTAATATTCTCAAATTAGTCAACTAACTCTTATAATTAGGACCGGAGGTGGTAATTTATTTATTTGTTAATCTCTGTGAAATACTGCTTTCGGTCCTAAATATGAGAGCTAATTGACTAATTTGAGTGGATTAAGAAAATATGTTAAGGTAGTTATTTATAATAAATAGGTATTATCTTTCCTAAAATATTCTTGCTAATCAAGTTTATTAACTAGAACTATTATTATTTGAAGGACTATCTTAAAAAAAATCAATATAAAAAAAAGTAAATTAGAATATTATATTTAAGACTAAAATAAAAATTAAATAAAAATGTTATATTAAAAATCAGAGAGATAGTACAAGTGATATGTTAAAGAAAAAAAGCTAGTATTAAAATATGAATGGGATATTGAATTTATTTATTTTATTCTCTAAATGTATTACACAATACACACGCACAACTTCAAAGTGGGGCAGGAATACTTATTGAGTTTTTTCCACGACCGCGCATTGACGATAATTCCATGAAGAGAGCCACTTGAGAGAAAATGCGTAACGTGGAACATAATGATATTTGACGTCCATTAAATAATCTCACTCCCTTCCGCGAACCTCCTCCTTTTCAGTTTTCATTCTTTGACTTCTCTTTCTCTCGTCATTCAGGAAAATTCTATGCACAAACAGACACAGAAAAGCAGGTCACCCTCCCCATTTTATAAGATTTAAGCATTTTCGTAGGAGAAGCTGCGGAAATTTCCCGTGAGGCTCTCCAGCACCTTCTTCTACCTTTCAAAGCCGGCCGTAACGTGATGGATTCAAACTTCATATGCCTTATATATAGAACCGGCCCTCCATCGGTTCTTCAAACCATTCCAACAAGGCAGATCATAGCCTTTTCGTCTCATAACAAAATACCAATTTGAGTCCGATAGAGGGACACCGGAATTTTAACTTTACATCGCTTTGCAGAATTTCTGTAGCCATGGTTACCGGCCAACTTGATTGCTTGATTCAATTCGACAGGTTAAATTGTCAGGATGATGCTACCTCCAGTTCTAATCCCTTATTTGGTCTGTTAGACCTTTTTCTTTTGGGTACAGTTTTCACCAAAATAAAGAGTTATTTCCCAAAGTTTTGGTTTTTCCTTCTGTCCCAAAAACATGTCTCAGATTCTGAGTTGAGCCACCAAGAGAATTCGGTTCCTGGAATCAGAGAGGACGGGGCTCTTGGTAGGGACGAAGTGAAAATGGTGATGGAAAAATTAGGGCTTTTTTGCAGCTCAGAAAGTGAGGAACTTGAGGCTAAATATAGTTTGGGCGAAGTTTCTGATGCGTTTGAAGAGGAGGAGCCAAGCCTCGAAGAGGTGAAGCAAGCATTTGACGTGTTTGATGTGAACAAAGATGGCTTTATTGATGAAAGGGAGTTGCAGAGAGTTCTGTGTGCTCTGGGTTTCACCGGAGCTGCAACACAACGAGAGAACTGCCAGAAAATGATCAGGAACTTCGATGAGAATGGAGATGGAAGAATAGATTTCAGGGAATTTGTAAAAATCATGGAGAACAGTTTCTGCTGATTTGTTCTTCCTTGGTTTAAACATCTATTAAATATCAGTCATTGATCCAACCAATTTTTATTTTCGCTGTCTGTGTGAGACCTCATCCGTTAAACGGAATCCCATATTTATGATGAAGGCTCAGAGCCCACACACTCCGCAATTCAATAATAATAGATATGTTATCTTAACAAAACAACCCCACTGAAGGAATCAATATCTTACCCGGTATTAAATTGATGTGTAGATACAATATTTGATTTTGACTCCTAGTACGCTTTTTTAGTTTCAATTCGTTCTCCGTTTGTTTTCTGGGTAACATAGGAGGCTAAAAGGCATTCTCCTTTAAAAATTACTGCAAGTTAAAACGAAACTTGATAACCTTGAATGAAGACAGTCATTATAAACTCTGTGAAGTAAGAAGCCTGTGTTTGCTCGTTGGGATCATCTGGTTCAATTCAACACTAGAGCCTATCTGTAGCCTCTCTGCCCAAACTTGCTGACTAGTCCGCCATGTTTAATTAGCAGTGTTGCAGCAATTTTCTTTGCTTTTCCCAACAGACCAACATGACCCACGAATCAACCATAAAATCAAAATTTTTATGCCCTCTGATTCAAATTACGATTCTCAGTCAATAGTAATGGATTTGGAAGTACTTGTATTCTTGCTCAACCGATTCAGTTGGCTGCAATATGACATCCTATGAATAATACACAACCCCATTTCCACCATTTAAGAGTTCCAAACCGTAATTTAAAGAAACTAAATCAGATCAAGATTTTCCCACAACCTCTTCTTCAGTATCTATATTCTATATAATACTTAAACTATATGAAGTCAATATGGTGTATTTGCCCTGTGAATCGTATTATGATTTGATATATTTAGCTTATATTGAGCTACATGTTTTGTTGTTTTGCGGTGTAATGGTTGGATTTTTTCCGTTAATTTCAAAATTAGTGGGTCTCACTAGATGATTTTGTCACAATTATGTCTCTTGTGCAATAAACAAGACCGATTTCTAATTGGATAAACTGCGGCAACAAACCTGCAATTCACACAGCAGCCACATCCACCTTCCATGAAAGGACCAAGCATATAGACGTTCTCTTGCACACGTGCATGAGAAAGTTCAAGCAAAAAGCCTGTTCAAGCAAAAAGCCTTGTCCGGATAGAAGTTGGGTTTGGAAGCCCAAAATGTGATCTTTAAACATTTATCCAAAAACCCTTTTTTTTAAGAACCAAGTTTGAGCTCCTAACTGCGGTTTTTTTCAATAAAAGTTATTCAAATGCTCTTATCTGTTAAAAAACCACGTTTGCGCTCATAAACCACGTCATATGAGAAGCAACTCTAACTTGCATATACTTCTGATTAAATCAGTTTTGTCTTAAATTATGCTTATAAATCAATTTTATCCAAACTCCATTTTGCCTAACACTAATCCGAATACACCCTCAGTTGCTGCTCTGCTCAACTTGCTCATGCTGCATTTGCTTGATATGCATGTTCCAGCTTCAGTGGGAGTAACAGAGGATACAGCTAGCGAAGTTAGTTAAACTAAATTAGTTCAAGTTACTGTCAGCCGTTAGTAGTTTATGCCATTTGTTAGCAAGACTCATGACAGTTAACTCTAAATTGTATATGCGTGTACATCAAATCATAGTGGAAAGTATCTTCCTCATTTTCCAACTCACTTTCATATTTGCTGAGCATAAAAGTTATGACTTGAAAACAGTTTGGAACTTCGGTTGCATTTATTGCACATAATCAAAATGATTAAAAGGAACGTAATCATATTTTATCAGAAAGCCAATTGAAAAATCCTTCCTCGCAACTTATTTAAACAAAGGCACACTCCACTTGCAAGTGCCATTATAGAATAAAGGAATTTTAACCAACGAGCAGTTGGTCGAACTAGTAAATAGGTTCACCTCCCGTAAGGATGAAAACGCGTGTTCGAGTCCCGGAAAGCACTCTTGTTGGGAGAGGAGACAACCTCGCCTATGTGGGCAGCACTCCTACCCCTTGAGTCTGGATTAGTCGGTTGCCAATAGGCGCCAGATTACCCGGCGGTGTATAACAAAAAAAAAAAACAGAATAAAGGAATTTTAAGATTGTAACTAACCACCAACCAAGGGGTCCATATGCTGATCGTTATCATGTTGATGGGCTTAAGTATATCCCTCTCTGATATGAAGTATACTCAGGTAGAAACCTCATGATAACACTTCATATCTTTAAACGAATATAGCCATAAATGATTAATAAAACTTATAAATATATAGGGAGAGCTATATCGTTCATTCGTTGTAAATACCACAACGCAATTTCAGATTTTGCCAAACTGCAAGAATTTGTCCCTCTCTAGCTAATATCCCTTTCTAATGTAAAGGATCCAAGTATCGATAATTAAGCTCCTTTATCTAGATTTATTTCAAAGTATATTTTTTTGTGGGGGCTCATTCAAAAGAGACATCAAATGTTGAAAATATATTGTTCACACTTCACACAGAAAGCTCAGAGGAATGGAGGATAGATAATATCAGAAAGAAACTAGTAGCGAATTTTGATTGATGTACATGCGAGGTGAGCGAGCACATGAAGGGACTAGATATTTTGTCATGTATGTTATGATGAAATTGAATTTGTTGCAGAGGATGTGTTGCAGGAATATTGAGGCCACAATATGTCAAATGGAATTTATGTTCACTCTTGTCTTGTGCAGAGCAGTTGCTTTCTGTGGAAGAAACAGTTGTTTTTCCCCCCACAGTGAAATGTTCCTAACATTGAGGGTAAACACTAATTGAAGCGGAGACAAAACTGGTGGGTCAAACTCAAACGGTCAAAAAAATGAGAAGTCCAAATGTACAAATGGAAAGACAAACATAACTTGAGAACCCACCAAAAGAGTTGCCAAAAAGGGCCAAAAGAAAAGACCCTGCAGCTAGTAAAACTGAAGAATCAGGTTACATTTCATTTCAGGGAATTTATTACTTTCTTACTGAAATTAGAACTGATCATAAGAGATCAATAATATGTGGACTTAAATTTAAAAAGCAGGTACAGCTCAAATCTGAATTCAAGATATTGTTCATAAGCAATTAAGCACAGTTGAAGTCAGGCATTTAAACTACGTTACCCAGGAGCGGCATGATCATTATCATGATGTCTCTTATTCAGAAATAATTGAAGCCCAACAACATTAAAAGCATACTCAACAATATATTACAATCAAATTAAAGTAAGGAGAACCCCACTTGCTCCCTCAAGTGGGATTCTTACAAACGACTTATCATTCTCACAAGTTGTACCTTATAGTACATGAAATCATTATCACAAGCTGTACCTAATAATCCTAGTAGTACATGAAACCATTCTCCGCCAAACAGAGCCACTCTTGAGGCGTCCCATATGTTGTTCACCTCAACAATATTTTAATTGCTTCTCTCATTACTCTATTACCTTGTACCAAACTAATAATACTTTCATCCTATGGAATTTTAGCCTTGGAAAAATCAATCGACGTGCAAATCTGTTCCCAAAGATAACAAATTCATTGTACTTTAGCCATTTCCGTTTAGTAAAATCAATGGACAAAAAGACTGAGTTTCCACGGAATTATTACTTTTAAGGACAAATTAATAAACATGCACAGTCGTTAATTTTTGTGTGAAGGCTAAGATAAACTCAAGGTGAATTCAATTCAGTATCGAAATTGGCGTCCAGTATAGGTCTGGCCAAAGGACCAAGAGGGTGGCGCAACGTTGTAAGAGACAAGAGAGCGACCATCACTGGTGGTGACCAAGAAAGAAAGGGCCTGACCAGTGAGGTAAGAATTGCTCTGCCAGTTTTGGCCCCAGTTTCTGGACATGGCTTGCCATCTAATCCTTGACCCCTTGATTGCCACTGCATGCACATCTCCAGCTCCTCCAACGTTTGTAACCAGCACTAAATTGAAGTATGAATGCCCATTGATGGTAAATCTTATTCCTCCTCTTCTCCTACACCTCACCCTTCAATTCCATTCAACCACACCAGAAAAACGTTGTTAGTCGGAGAAGATAGTGTCACGAGGACCATGCTTTAACTATTCTTGTCACCATTTCACTTTGAAAATTTCTTGTTTGTCACTGCTTTTTGATGAAACTTCCTTTTTAACTCCCAAACATACCTTGAAAATTATTGTGACTGTGACTGTGAGAGCAAATGAAAGAAGAAAGTGAAAAAAGAAGGTACCTTCTGTAACTGACAGGAACAATGCCGGCTTTGTACTGAGCAATGTGTTGGAAAACAGGTTGGGAAAGATCAAAATGGAGGTTGGGAGGGTCACACCAGCCACCTGGTGGGCAAAAATTAGTGGCAGTGACCACAACAGTGCCGGGGAGACACCATTGTGGGTCATTCACACATCTAATCTGATAACATGCACCACAGCTTAGTCCATTGTCAAACAAAGCACTGCTCACAGCTGCTGTGTTTGTTCCATATCCTTGACTGTACAGATTTCCGTACCCACATGCCCCTCCTGCAATATAACATTTCACCCTATCATCTCAACGACATCCAAACATATTATTCTCTCCTTTTTCTGTCAATAATGGTGAAAGAAAAGCTCTTTATGTCTTAGTAACGATAGTTGGTTGGCTTTGGTTACAGGCTTACCCATAGTTCCTGAAGCATCGCTACCGCCATAGAAAGTTGCATGAGCATTATTCCAGCCCCCATAGCCATGTCCATGAACAAAGGAGACAAATCCCAGAAGAAGAAAGCCAAAAGGAAGAAGACCCATTTTTGTTTCCTGCATAAATATGGGAAATTTAAGATTGGTATGGAACAATAAAGAGTAAAGGAAGAGAATGAAGATGGAGAAGAAGAAGAAGAAGGGTGAACCTTGAAAGGTGGTGTTTTGAGGGGATGAAGGTGGGGAGGATTGGAGTGCGAATAAATAGAGGCCAGTCAACGTCAAAGATGACAGAGACGACCTGACACATTTTGAGCTGTTGGGACCATACAAATGCAGTAATATCTATGTATGCTTGTGTTTGTGCGAGGTAGTAAACGGTCTTGGAACTCTGTTTTTGTGAAAACTTGTCTCTTTCTTAATCCAAATCAATGAAAGGTAGATTCCATGTGAAGTTCTAATAGCTGATCTACTGGATTCCACCCCTCATTTTATATGCTGAGCAGACAATATTGCCTGAAACTTCAAGGCGAGTTAAGATAAAAAGCTTTTTTTTTTTTTTGTGCAGTTAATTTAGCGCAAAGGAAGCACTAACTGTAGTTTTTAGAGGGCCATTATGGGATGGTTTTGTAGAATTTGTGGAAATGATAGGAATGTGCATATGTTAGAATTCGGGAAAAACAAAACATGCGTGTTTGGCTGGCATGCATGCAAGGGTGCTTGGCTATTAAATACAAACATGTGATATTTGTTCTTAACTGCAGACAGCAAGTACCTACCTAGTTATTGTGCTCACTCTCACGCTGCCCCAAGAGAGTTATGTTTCTTATGACCCATCTTCTTCTCACCTACAGTAATCTCTCTCGCCAAGAAGACTCTTCATTCATGGCTTACGGTGACCCAAAACAGTTCTTGTACTTGACAGATTCTTCTCTTTTCAATCCATTATTCACAACGTAAAATATAAATTGCTAGAGACAACTTGAAATTCGAAGGTATAATTATGTCTGTATGTGATGTTCAAACTGTTTAGCCGCAATTATTGGGCTAAGTAACGAAGGAAGTGAATGTCCAAAAGCTGTATTCATTCATGAGAAAAATTTCACCTCCCCACTTAAAGACTACGAAATGATATGAGCTTGGAAGAAATACTGTTTGGATGCAATATGAAAGCGTCGGCAGGGATGAAAGTGAAGAAGGACCTAAAGTTAGAGGGTTAATGACAAATGGGAAGGACGGTGGGGTCAGGTGATAATTTAGAAACTATTTCACATGGGAGGGAGGGACTACCACAACACAAACACCGCCCAAGGCTACGGACATAGGACACTCCCCTACTTCATTTTTGCAACCTCCCTTGTACCCAATAAGTTTTTTTTCTTTTTCTTTTGGACCTTTCTATCTATGCATTTTCCTAAAACACAGACGCACACTCTTCCTCTCCCTCCAACCCAATAATATTGCCACTTGTGAAACTTAATTAGCTTGGTTTAGTTTGTTCTCAAGAATATTCCTTCCTAGGTGTAATACGTACCAATTAATTTCAGATTATTTGGTTGATTACACTCTCATGTTCAATGATTATATATATGTGAGTTGGAAACTAAGAGAATGTTTAGTTGCTGATAAGGATGAGAATGTAATGGATTAAAGAATGTTTAGCTGCTGATAAGGAACATGATAATTAACGTGGAGTATGGAATGGAACTTGGTTTGCATGCAATTATATGACCTCGGTAACAATTCAGATTTTATACCCCCTGTGTGTATACGAAGAAGGAGATGAAGTGGTAATAGACTAATAGTAGTACCCTTTGGCCTATGGAGCTAAATTTGCTGGGGAAAGGGGGACGAATCTCTGGACTTAGATTTGGGGGTCCTCAATGTCAGCATGCTGCATATACATCAACGCGTGGATCTGTGAAAACACAGGCCATAGACATTGGATAACAATATCAGATTCCTCTGACCACACATTCTAACAAATGTACCTAAAATAATACACTCCCTTCTAGTTAAGATAATTCATGCCACTGTATAATTAGTTCATTAATGAGCACCAAGGCACCATATAATCAACATTTGATCTTGCTTAGCATGACCCAAGTGTGCTTTTTGATCTTGCATTGTCATCGCAGTACTTTCTCTCAGGGAGTGAAGTCAGGTCAAACAGTTACTGAAAGCTCCAAATTAATTATGTGTTCGTACGTTTAACCGAACCTGTAGAACTGTATACACACACTACAATAAGGGAATTACACAGCAAATAAAAACTAGAACAAACCACTGCTAAACAGTAGAAGTTTGTTACTATGACATGATGTAGAAAACAAGCGAGCGTTGGCAGTTGGCACCGCTCACCTGCTGTTGTCGTGTTCATCTCACGGCCTTCAGAATTTCACCTCTCTGCATATTAGATTTCCCGTGAATTCCCTGATTACTGTACTTCCTTCCTGTGCTTAATATAAAAACAAAACAATTAATTTGCAGATATTAAAAAGATTAATTTAGTTATTTGTAATAAATAGATATTGTCTTCCTTAAAATATTATTGCTAATCATGTGCATTAGTTAGAACTACTATTTAATGAAACATTTAATATGTACAACTATTATAAGAACTACCTTGAAAAAAATAGATAAATATGAGAGACAGAGTAGATTGGGATCTTACATTAATTTAACACTAAATTGAATGTCAAACCAGTATTTATATTAAATAGCGGAGTTAGCATTATTTTCTCTGTCATCTATCTTGCTCTGTACAAGTCTTCTAATTTTCTGGATTCAACTAATGCATGCTCTAAGCCTCTGACTCATTCAAGTGTTTCAACTTCATCTGCTTACGAGTCAAGAGTGCTGCATCCAACAAAATCGCTGCCATAGTCACCATTTCCCTCTAATTTCTTATCTTCTGCAAATCAATTCTGCTTGTCCATCCCTTAATTTCCAATATGATTTCACTAGCGCAACAAAACGAATTTGTTTCTCCATATTTGGATTCATATTACTCATCTACGTGGCCTTTACAACAAAATGCACGAAACCAAGGACACTGATAAAATCTTATACAACTACTCCTCCGGTCCTTAATATAAGACCTATTTAACTAATTTGATTAGATTAAGAAAGTTAGGTAAGTTAGTTAATTATAGAAAATGTGACATGTTTTTCCTAAAATACCATAATCATCTTTCTTAATACCCCATCTCCCTCTTCTACTTGATTATGGTTGAGGGAGTATCCATAGGGGTAATTTAGAAAAAATTGATAAATATGTAAAATGGGTCTTATATTTAGGATCAAAACCAACTTAATAATTGAATTCTATATTAAGGACCGGAGGAGTATCACAGTTGACAATGTGTCAAAGGGTCCCTATTTTTCTCGTTCTTTCATGGAGTTACCGTCCATTGGATTTGAACATAATTTCGACATAAAAATCTCCTGTTCAGTTATGGCTCAAACTTGACGACCTCTTCAACAGACCTTCTGGGGTCCTCCGGTCCTAAATATAAACAATTTACTCTACATATGAATCTTATAACTAATACTACCTCCGGTTTTTAATATAAGACCTCATTTAATTTTTATCTTAGTCCTAAATATAAGATACCAATCCACTTTGTCTCTCATATTTGTACATTTTGTCCCAAGATAGCCCTTGTAATAATTGTAGTTCTAGCCAATATACTTAATTAGCAAGGATATTTTAGGAAAGACAACATCTATTTATTACAAATAACTAATTTAACTTTTTTTTCTTAACCTACTCAAATTAGTCAACTAGCTTTTATATTTAGGACCGAAGGTAGTACTACTTTTGGTCCTTAATATAAAACCTAGTTGACTGATTTGGAAAAATTAAGAAAATTAGTTAAGTTAGGTATTTGTTGTAAGTAGATATTGTTTTTCCTAAAATACCTTTGTCAATCATGTATATTAGTTAGAATTACTATCTGATGAAATATTTAACATGTGTAACCATTATAAGGATTATTTTGAAAAAAAATAAATAAATATAAAAGACAAATAAGACTGGCTTCTTATATTTAGGGTCAAATTGAAAATCAAATAAGTTTTTATAATACAATTACCACCAACTTTGGCTATGGTTGACCCACTCAATACCTCACTTTCCTCGTCCTTCCGGTTCTTCTTTCTCCCCATCCGTCCCTGCCTCAAATAATTAATTTCTTTACTTCAAAAATCTGTGAGAAGTTCTGGACAGTTGGTTCCGTCAATAAAAAGCTGACTATAACGATCTTGATGGACAATTTAACAAGACTTAAATAATGAGAGTTTATTAGGACCCATTCCATTATTTCTTGAGATCGTTACGCGAGAATGCACAATTTTCTTCTTCTTAGGGTATCATATTGTTATCTCCGGTACTTAATACTACCTCCGGTTCTTATTATAAAACCCCGTTTGACTTTTTATTTGGTCCTAATTATAAGACCCCCAATCCATTTTGTCTCTTTTATTTATGTATTTTTTTCCAAGATAATCCTTCTAATAATGATAGTTCTAGCCAATATACTTAATTAGCAAAGATATTTTAGAAATGACAACACTTATTTATTACAAATAACCAACTTAACTTACTTCCTTAATCTCCTCAAATAAGTCTTATAATTAGGACCGGAGGTAGTATAAGACTCTGTTTGACTTTTATTTTGGTTCTAAATATAAGACCCTAATTCACTTTGTCTCTCATATTTATACATTTTTTTCCAAAGTAACCCTTCTAACAATAATAGTTCTAGTCAATACAATTGATTAGTAATGATATTTTAGGAAAGATAGTACCTATTTAGGATAAATAACTAACTCAACTTACTTCTTTAATCTCCTCAAATTAGTCAACTGGCTCTTATAATTAGGACCGGAGGTAGTATTTGAGTTCCTTAGTAACAAAGTAATTTTACCTTAAAAATTGTGATTGATAGGATAATTAAAAGATTACATCGATGTTGTCCTTTTTCTTGGCCGTCGGTTGTATCCAATCTTGTATGAATAGAAGTGAACGTTTGTTATATAATAATAATAATATAAGAAAGGAAAAAAGCAATTACTCAACCTTGTATATTTAATACGTTTGCTTCCAATCAAATCAAGATGTGTATTTTTTATTATTTATATGTTATTTATCTTATAAGAAATTTACATTATCAAAACTTTAAAATCTGTCCTTTAATCCAATTAGATAAAAATTATCATACCCTTATCCTTTTTATCTGAAAATATTTTTAGTAATTAAACTGTAAAGGTAAATATAAATGTTGCGTTGATATCATGTACAAAGTTTTAGAGCAGCAATTATAAAATAAAAAAAACTAAACGCTGTTAATTGATAAAATAATTATTAATTATTAATATTGGGTTTAACAAACGTTTTATTATATATAAAATAAAATTAAATGTAATTGTGCGGTTGTTTTAAAGAAAGTTTCCTAATCTTCCTTTTGAACCGGGTCGGGTGGATTATGGCGGTGATGATTTATTAATATTATATGGAAGGCTGCCAACCCTAATACTAAGTACATTCGTTATCGTTTTCCCTTCCGGTTGCTGTGGACGATTCGTATTTCCCAATTCGACGCTGTACATCCGTTCTTTGTAAGCATCTCTCTCTCCTGCTGCGCAAGTCCACGCCAAGATCTGGTTAACTTTCCTTGTTTGTTTTTTTCACCATTTTTCACCCCTCATAGATTTCTTGATAGCTTCCCGCTTGACAAAAGTTAGCTTCCCTTGCCGGGAAAGAGGACTGATTTCTCATGTAATTTACTTTACCTTTGCTAGAGATTTTTTTCCCTCCTGTTTACTCGCGGCGCATTGATATAAAATCGTCCCTGGGTTGGCCTAAATGATAAATTTGGATCGACATCTTTAGAATAATATCCCTTTCCGCTTGATGCGCTGGTACGATTAGGGCATTTTAGGAGTTTACTTGCAAGGTGGTGTTTCGTGTGTTGCATGAATTTTTGCATTCACATTTACATGAATGGTCACCCTCGTTCTAGAATGACATTAAAATGGCTTTTCAAATGCAAGTTTTTGTAAGCGAGCTGGAAACATTATCGTTAATTTCTATCGTCATTATAGGGGATTAGGTAGTTATTCCAGTACTGCATTAGGATTATGTTTTATCTCCTAGTCAAGGCAAATAACCTTTATGAATTTTCTTGTATAGTTTGTGAACCTTTGTAGGGTTTCTCACTATCTTTCCTTGGTCTATGTAGAGTATCTGACTATCTGGGCTGCTCCCAAACTGTTTTACCTCATGGCCGGTCCTAGAAGTAGTTATGGAAAGCGTTCCCACTCTCAATCTGACTATGAGAATGGAGGAAATAAAAGGAGAAATCCAGGTGATGAAAGAGAGCAGTTTATAATTGATCCAGAAGATACTGTATACCGTTATTTATGCCCTGTTCGAAAGATTGGTAGTGTTATTGGTAGGGGAGGTGAGATTGTTAAACAATTAAGGATAGACACTAAATCTAAAATTAGGATTGGTGAGACTGTGCCTGGATGTGAAGAGCGTGTTATTACAATCTACAGCTCCGGTGATGAGACTAATGCCTTTGAGGATAGTGGTAATTTTGTATCACCAGCACAGGATGCTCTGTTCAAGGTGCATGACAGAGTGGTTGCTGAAGAGGGGCATGGTGATCAGGAGACCGAAGGAGGTCATCAAGCCACTGCTAAGCTTCTTGTACCTTCTGATCAAATAGGTTGTGTGATTGGAAAAGGTGGTCAGATTGTTCAGAGCATCCGTAGTGATACTGGGGCCCAGATACGAATACTAAAGGATGAACATTTGCCTCCTTGTGCCTTGAACTCCGATGAACTTGTGCAGGTAAACTGGATAGGTTTTCTTAATATTGGTTTTTTCTACTGCTTGATATTAACCATAGAAGGACATGTGATCCTTTCATTTGTTTCTACAATTATTTGTAATTGTGTTTTCAGGACTGGAATGAACTTACCCTGTTGATTGCAAAAAGTTTCTTAAATTTTTTACTTACATGATGCATGGGTTTGTCCATATCATTTTTTTCTGGTTTTTGAATCTGTAATGATAATTTCACTTTTGTTGTTTCACTAGTTTAATTTTAGTTTTACTCCTGCTGTTCTGAGGATAAATGGCCGGTGTATTGTGATTTATGCAATTATTATTAGTGAAATACTCGTCTCACTGTTTTTGTTTTAAATATAATTCATGCCATTATGTATGTTAACTATTTTTTCTTGACGGAACATGCGTACCTGCTCCATATCAGTCTTAAATTATTATATTACGTTTTATTCTTATTTAAACCTATTGTTCTTTACGTGTTTAGTAATTTAGATGTTGTGGTTTTGTCCTGTTTTCTGATGTTATGGATGTGGCTGGCACACTTTGCTTTTAGTTTGTTTCTGTTATGTGATATTTTTTTTACCCTTATGGCTGTGCTGTTCGGGGTACTGCAGATATCTGGTGATGCTGCAACTGTGAAGAAGGCTCTATATCAGATTGCATGTCGACTTCATGACAACCCATCACGGTCTCAGACTCTTCTTACCTCTGCAATGCCTGGTGTATATCCTACGAGTGGTTCGCTGGTTGGCCCAACTGCTGGAGGTCCAATTGTGGGAATAGCTCCTCTTGTGGGTCATTATGGGGGATATAAAGGTGATACTGGAGACTGGCCAAGATCCTTGTACCCAGCACCAAGGGATGAAACATCTTCAAAGGAATTTTCGGTTCGTTTGGTTTGTCCAACTGGAAACATTGGAGGTGTAATAGGCAAAGGTGGTGCTATAATAAATCAAATCAGGCAGGATTCTGGGGCAACAATTAAGGTTGATAGCTCTGCAACAGAAGGAGATGATTGCCTTATAATTATTTCAACAAAGGAGGTGAATTGCTGTCTATTGATCATTCATTGGAACTATTTCTAATTATGTGCATATGAAATATAGGTTGAAGATTTTTGCTTAATTGCAAAATTTTAAAAATTATGCTCTTGCAGTTCTTTGAAGAAACATTTTCTCCAACCATTGAAGCAGCTGTACGTTTACAGCCCCGGTGCAGTGAGAAGGTTGAGAGAGATTCAGGAATTATCTCATTCACAACACGGTTGCTGGTGCCAACCTCCCGAATTGGTTGCCTTATTGGTAAAGGAGGAGCTATCATAACTGAGATGAGGAGGCTGACAAAAGCTAACATCCGCATCCTGTCAAAGGAAAGTCTTCCTAAAATAGCATCTGAAGATGATGAAATGGTGCAGGTAAGGTTATTATAGTTGTGTTTTTTATTTAGAATTGCTGAATTTGTTTGTGACATTTACAGTTGCTTTTTGAATAAAATTGTTTCCTCTAGTTATTTAATTATTTTTGTTGATCAGATTTCCGGAGACCTTGAGCTTGCAAAGGATGCTCTTGTGCAAGTACTTACACGGTTAAGAGCAAATCTTTTTGACAGGGAGGGGGCTGTTTCTGCATTCCTTCCAGTTCTGCCGTATCTTCCTGTTCCTGCTGATGGTCCGGATGGTTTAAGTTATGATGCTAGAGATGGTAAAAGGCATGGGCGAGGACATTCTTATTCAAGTGGATATGGTGGTTCTAGTGATTTAACTGCTGGTGATGGCTATGGAAGCTATGGTAGTTCCCAGGTACTCTAGGCATAAGCAATTGTGAAGTTATGTGTAAGTTCTTCATGTTAATTTATTTCTGATTCGACAATTGCAAAATTGTTCCATTCATTTGTAGTTTGGTGGTAGCGCTGCTTACGGGGCTTATGGAAGTTATTCTTTGGGACGGACTGGCACTTCTGGGTAACAAAAACTTTACCATATTTGCCGTTTTCTCTTTATCTGTAGATTTTTTAGTGTGCTTTGGCTTATGCTACTCTTCCTGGGTGAATGCGTGACATAATTCTGATGTTATATGGGGATTAAAGGTTTTCTCTAAGACTGTTATGGAGCCTATTTTTAGACTAAGGGGGTGTTTGGGTGGAAACAAAACCATGGTTTTGAAAAGTCTTTTACAGTATACGAAGTAAATATGTGAACGAGTTTGTCTCGATTTGTGGTACACTCATCCAAACACCTCCTAAAGCTTTTTTAGGAACCATGTTTGAAGCTTCTGTGCCATGAAACCTGTTTGGAACTGTAGGTTTGGTCTGATTTGTGTTGTATGAGACTCCTTAGTGTTCCCTGTCCGTGTTGGGGAGAGGCCAATTGGCTGATTTCAATTTCTGGCTGTTTCAAAGCTCATCAGTGCTGATATTTAGTATCTGTTACCAGGTTGTCTAGTCACCACAGTGTTTCTCGGAGGAGAAACCATGCTTACTAAAAATTGTTCATGGTTACCCGCAGGTAGACTACAGTTTTCACCGAATCTTTTGTCTTATATCTGACAACCTACTATAATTTAGGCCAGTGACAACCTTGACCACTGTCCATTCTGATGCTCTTGTTTTACCTTGTTGCCTCTCACTTCCCACTTATACAGCTGAGATATGTGAAGCCTGAAGCCTGCCTACTGTTTAAACTGGAAGATCAGATGAACCAGGGTTTGACAAACTCATGGCCTACCTTGATGCTTCTACTTAGAGGACCAAACATATGTGGAGACTATTGAAATTGGCCATGTTCACTTTACCTTATTTCCCAAGCTTGATAACTTGTGCTCCCAAGAACCTATAAAGCTGGCCTGCCTTTGTTGCTGCTTTGCAATACTAGTTCTTGTCATTATAACTAGAACTATGATGCTTTTGTGATCCTCTGGAAGCTGTATAAGCTTACTAGCTTTTTTTTCCCCCCTTCGCTTGCCCTTTTTTTAATCGTCTGTAGCACGAATTTGTGTTTATTTGAATTTAATGATGTTAATTCTGATTAAGCTGATCATATACGTAAAAGATTGGTGGTGGTTTGTTGTCTGAATTTCATGTATTGACACCTTTATCAATCACCGTAAGTAGGTAATGTTTTGTTCTGTGTGGCACTATTTTACTCATAATATGTGCTCATGGATTTAGTTTAGTATTTGTTGAGTGGGAGGTATGAGCTGTTCTCACTATGCAGCAGTCTCATAATTGAAGTTCATATGGCCAAACTCTCTGTGGGTTTGGTTTGATTAGAGGTATGAAACTGTTCTCATTTTGCTGTTGAATTTTTTATATAAGCCATATAGTGGAAATCTACCGTTGCAAAGATAGCACTATTGGTATGCGGTTAATTAGTGTCCTGTTTTATGAGTTTGCAGTATTGTATATGCATGGATACAACAAACTGGATCCGTAGGGCTTGTTTGAGTTTGTTTGGCTTCCAGACTGCATTTGAATTTATGATATTCTTCCATTTTCCCTTTGAAAAATGTGTCTTAATTGTGTTCTGATGGATTGTTAACACCTGGTAATTTCACCAGTAGGTACTTCTCCAAAATTAATCTTCTGTTACTAGGAGCTTAATTGGACCAATATCAGTTTTAATTGGTGTCTAGCACTTAGCTACATGTTTCTGGGAAGAGTTATATAACCTGATTCAAATGGTTTTTGGTGCCCTCTGTTGAGTTATCTGGCCATGGAAGCTGTTTAAAATTCAAGATGATGTGTTAGGTTAATGTTCATATAAAATGTTCTTTATTGTCTTTCTCTAATCAAATGCAATCTCTTGTGGAACTTATCTCTCATGTTCTCTATTTGGCTATAACCAACACAAGCTTTCTGGCTTACTCCTGGTAGGCCCTCGCAGGGTTTTGTGTGATGTCAGTTTCTATAGTAGATTTGGCTTTCCAGGTTGAGTCACAAATGCATTGTAGAATTAGAATTTTTTTTTTTTTCCCGGTTGGAATTAAGTGACTTTCATAGTAATTGGGGAAGGATTTGTTTTCTTTTTGCCACGATGTGTCCATACATTCTTATTCTTATTATAGTATAAAATAGTATATAAATGTTGTGTCTGTCTAGTGCTTATTGTGTCATGGAGAATGCGTTGGCTTTTCATGTAATCTGGTTAGACGTAAGTTGCTTTGTGGCTTTAGGCACAACTTTTTATAGTTGGGGTTGTTATAGCATGTCTTACCTCCGAAGACAGTCATTTTGAACATCTGAATGGCATTGGAGATTGGTTGACGGGAGGCCTTGCCTGAAGACTGAATTTGCTATGAACCATGGGTGAAACGTCTTGCAGGATGACTGTCTTGTTGTGAGGTGAATAAAACAGCATTTTGTAATGTGACATGCGTAGTATTACGGGATGTTGACTATTCGTTTTATTTTTAATATATTTTTTTTCCAAGTAACATGCTTTTGCCAAGTATTAAAATTGGCGGTGGTTAATTGCTGTGTGTAATCTTTTGAACTCTGCATTGTCATTTTTTTCCCTCGTGGTCTCGTAACTTACCTTTAGTTGCCTGGTTCGCCTGCTGCTTTGGTAAGAAGCAAGTCTTGTTCAAAATTACATGCTCTTGAGGCCAAACGTATCAGAGCTAAGTTGTTTATTTTGTTGCCGAGGCTTAACCCATGACAAAACGTATTAGAGCTAATTTGTTTATTTTGTTGCTGAAGCCTAACCCATGACATTGTGTGTTACTGTTATCCATAAAGTAGCGGTGGTAATTGTATTAGTAAGAGTGATGGTAGCACTATATGTTTCGTTCAACATTTTTTTTGGTGATGACCTTTGAAGCATGACAACGTAGTCTCTGGAGTGTCTGAAACTTCCCACAATGGTGAGCAGGATTAGACTTGTCACGAGGATCAACTGGGCAATTGAGGCACTGTATTGCCTTTGATGGTCACATTATGTTAATGCTTTATCTTATATGTTGAGCTTATAATATAGAGTAACGATCATTCACTCTTGTTGAGTGCCCAGCTCGTTTGATTTTTCTCCCCTCTGGATCCGTCCGTGGTTGGTAGCAAACAAATTCGCGGAAATCTAGGTGGTTTTTTCTCGACCTTTATGAAGTTAAAATTAATGGTCAAGCGAACTCCATTACGTTTCGGATTCTAGATTTCTGGACAACCCTGCGAGCGTCATCAGTGATTGATGGAATAGTGGGGGCATCCGCTATCCACAAAAATTTATTATTGAAAATTGCCTCGAATCAGAATAGGCTTCAAGGTATAATTTTGCGAAGGGCACATTGTCACTTTCTTTGGCCTCTCTTCGAGTATAAGTTGCCCAGATTGAAGGGTTACTTTCACTTATCAAACGATGGATTTTAAGGGGCGGTTAATATTGCCGAAATCGGATTGGGTATTGCCGAAATCAGAGCAATGGTTTACTAAACCGTGGTCAAACCAATCTCATTTCATTTTTCTGAAAATGTATTGCATATGAAAATGAAATACCTTGAACATATGTATTTTTATATTGCCGCGCATACCCAAATATTTATTCATACTGGTCTCATACACGTCATCTTTGACATATTCTTTTATGTGGTCAGCTCAAAAAACTATTTATCATCTAATACAAATGGTAAGAATTATGAATATATTAATTAGAATCATTAATACATTAGCAAAAAAACCAACCAAAATACAAATAGAAGCACAAAAAAACGTTCCTTGCCAGATTCTATTGATTCTTGTTCGTTTTAACCAGTTAAAGCCCGGAGGGGCGGGATCGGCTGGTCGAGTCTGGTTCTAACAACTGCGGAGGTAATAGTGGTCTTTCACGCCTATTATCAATGAGACATTGATCATAGGTTATGCAAATTTTTGCTAAATTCACAAGAATGCTATGCCGTCCCTTCATTCACCGACCTCAATTGTAGTCGATGGAAAGCAAAGAATGTTTAGATGCGCGAGTTGAAATGATATATAATGTTACAGGAGGTTTAGTTGCAGGAACCTCTGATCCGCCAGTAGTAAATATAAATAAAAAGTGACGTACATAGTGACGTTCGACTGTTAAACAAGACCTAAGATCATATTCATCTCCCTGTAACTATTCGGAATATTGTTGAGTTGATTTTGGTTCTAAATATAAAATCTATTTCTCATATTTATCAATTTTTTTTTAAATTATCTCTATAAATACTCCTTCAACCATAATCAAGCAGAAGAGGAAGAGAGAATATTAAGGAAGATGATTATGGTGTTTTAGAAAAAATGTCTTATTTTTTATAATTAACTAACTTACATAACTTTTTTAATCTAACCAAATTAGTTAAATAGGTCTTATATTAAATATCGGAAGAGTATTTCACAAGTAGCGAATGTGTATCTCAATTGTCAGCCATGCAGCAAAATTATTTTTTCCAGCAGAAGGGGAAGACGCCGATTAAACGACGTTGTTTCGTCCGTAGGCCTCATTCCCTGCCTTTCGTCGCTGATGCCCCCGAATGATCCTCCATTCTTGTTTTACCCTGCGCTACCTCAAGCCTTCCTTCAGTCCGCTTCTTTCTTCCGTCTGTTACCTCCCACGGTTTCTCTTCAACCTTCAATTGGCTGCCATTACTTCTTCTCCATTTTCTTTTAGCAAAGAGAATCAGACGACCCAGGCAGATTTGTCTTCTATCGACTTGCGTGGTATCGCTCAGTCTGTTTTATTCAAATCTTATTTTTCTGATGATAAATCCAGGGACTATACTACTGCTTCTCTAAAAGACCTTCTTTTGGGGATTTCTGATGTAATCCCAGAAATCACTCGTCGATTCTGGAGGGTGTCTGCGCTGCAACCCGAAAATTTACTGGAAATATTATTAGGTCTTCAGTCGGAGTCTCTCAAAGATGAACTTCAGTTGGACAAGGTCAGATGCTTGTGGGAAATATTCAAGCGGGTTGATGAACAGAATAGGGTATCCAAGCATCTTTCTATGTCGTATGAAGTCGTGGCTTCCTTGCTTATTCAAGTCAGGTTACTTGAAGAAGCTGAGCACTTGCTCTCTACATTGGAGGGTCGTGGAGTTTCATTGGATTGTCATGATGTTTACAGTAACTTAGTTGAAGGCTATGCTGGCATGAAAGAGCTAGAAAGAGCTCTTTCAATATACGACTGTATTAAAAAACGAGGTATGATTTTTTCAAGGTCCTGTTATTGTGCCTTCCTAAATGCTTTGGTGCAAACGAAGAGAAAAAAACTTGCATTTCGAATTTCACTGGATTTGGTGGATTTGGGTCCACCATTGAGTATTGCCGAGATGAATACGTTGGAAGATGTCATGAAACTACTTTGCAGAAATGGAAATATTCTCGAAGCTAGAACTCTGGTCAAGAAGGTCTTGCCTTACAATTCTGAGATGAGTAGCTCAGTTCTTGATGAAATTACTATCGGCTATTGTGAGAAGAGGGACTTTGAAGATCTGCTTAGTTTCTTCATTGAAGTAAAACGTACCCCGACTTTAATGGCTGCCAATAGAGTTCTGAATTCTATATGCATCTGCTATGGCGCGGACAGAGCGGGAATGTTTATGCTAGAGCTGCAAAATATAGGTTTCAATCCTGACGAAGCAACCTATGGGATTCTAATTGGTTGGAATTGTCATGAAGGGGAGCTGAGAAATGCACTGGGTTATTTGTCAGATTTGCTGTCAAAAAGCATTTCACCGCTAATATATACTTACAATGCTCTTATAAGTGGGTTGTTTAAGGTTGGAATGTGGAAGCATGCACGTGGCATTCTTGATGAGATGATGGATAGGGGAACAATACCTGACATGTCAACTTTTAGGGTTCTCCTGGCAGGATATTGTAAGGCTAGAAAATTTGAAGAAGCAAAAGGTTTGGTTTCAGAGATGAAGAGCCGTAGCTTAATTGAACTTTCTTGGTCTGAGGATCCACTTTCTAAGGCATTTCTCATTTTGGGGCTGAATCCGTTGACTGTGAGGTTGAAGCGAGACAATGATGTTAGACTCTCAGAAACAGAGTTCTTTGATGATATTGGAAATGGACTTTATTTAGATACAGACCTGGACCAGTATGAGAACCACGTTAATGGGGTTCTTGAAGATTCCAATGTACCTAATTTCAACTCATTCATTAGGGAAGAATGCATCAACGGTAACCTAAAAAGTGCACTTCTTTTGGTAGAAGAAATGCTTAGGTGGGGGCAAGAATTGCTGTTGCCTGACTTTTCAGAGTTAGTGAGACGGCTTTGCTCATCTAGGTCACAAATCAAGTCAATGACCCACCTTTTGGAGAAAATGCCGCAGTTGGCCTGTAAACTGGACCAGGAAACACTCAATTTGGTTGTTCAGGCCTACTGCAAGAAGGGCTTACTGAGCAACGCAAAGTTTATCCTGGAGGAAATGCTTCAAAGGAAACTTCGTGTCAAGAATGAGACGTATACTGCCCTGTTAATGAGTTTATGTAAAAAAGGAAACATGAGGGACTTCCATAATTACTGGGATGTTGCTCAAAAAGACAGCTGGTTACCAGCATTTTACGTTTTTGAAGATCTTCTTACTTATATCTGTCATCAAAAAATGATTGGGAAGGCATTGCAGCTTCTTGAAATCATGCTGCTATCATACCCTCACCAAAGGTCGGGTATTTGTTACGCATTCCTTGAAGTAGTCTGTGCTACTGGTTTTTCTGGCTTTGCCCTTGGGTTCTTAGAACAGCTACGGCCTTGGTTTGTCTTGGATCATGCTGGTTATAATCATCTTATTAGAGATTTGTTTAAGGAGGGGAAGTTTGATGTAGCCTTTTCCATATTAAATGGTATGCTGGATAAAAATTTGGCACCCTGTTTGGATGTTTCTGTCTTGTTAATCGATCAGCTTTGCAAGGCTGGCTTACATGACAAAGCTATAGCATTGAAAGATATTATTTTGAAAGAGCACTCTGCATTTTCTACTTCTTCTCATTGTGCATTGATCCATTGGTTTTATAATTCTGGGAACACTGAGAAAGCAGACACATTATTTCAGGATATTTTGTCGAAAGGACTAATTCTGGATTCTGAAGTGTGTAATATACTTATTCAAGCGAGCTTCAAAGCTAATGATTTGAGAAAAGTTGGGGAAATACTTGGGTTTACTATAAGAAAAAACTTGGTAACCCTCTCAAGTTATCGGAGTTTGGTGCGAATGATGTGTGTGACCGGCAGAGTCCCAGATGCCCTAAGCTTGAAGAACCTTATGCTTGAACAAGGTACATCTGATGGCCTTGTATTATATAACATACTTATATTCTATCTTTTGTCATCTCGAAACAATTCTCTTGTTAATAAGATACTAGATGAAATGGACGAGAAGAAAGTTGTACCCAATGAAGTCACCTATAATTTTCTTGTCTACGGATTCTTGCATTGTAAAGATACTTTCAGATCCTTGCATTATTTAACTACTATGATTGAGAAGGAACTCAAACCTAGCAGCCGCAGCATGAGGTTTGTTATAAGTAGCCTGTGCAATATTGGGGAACTGCAAAAGGCCCTGGAATTTAGTCAAGAAATGGAATCAAGGGGATGGAGTCATGGTTCAGTCATTCAAAATGCAATAACTGAAGGCCTTCTTTCTCATGGTAAGATACAGGAAGCAGAAAATTTTGTGGACAGGATGCAGGAGGGGCTTTTAACCCCAGAGAATATCAATTACGATAATCTGGTTAAGCAATTTTGCCAGCATGGAAGATTGGACAAAGCGGTTCACCTTATGAACATCATGCTGAAGAAACATAACGTTCCAACCTCCAGCAGTTATGACTCTGTAATTTGTGGATTCTGTGCACAAAATAAATTGGACAGAGCTTTGGATTTATATTCTGAGATGTTTGTCCATGATCTCAAACCAAAAATCAAAACGCAGGAAATGCTTTTCCATTGCTTCTGCCAACATGGAAGAACAGAAGAAGCAGAACGGTTCCTAATGGACATGATTGAGAATGGTGAAACTCCAACGAGAGAAATGTTCTGCTCTGCAATCAACACTCTCCGCATGGAAAAGAATCTTAAGAAGGCATCAGAGATGATGCAGGCCATGCAGCAAGTTGGTTATGACCCTGACTTTGAGACACACTGGTCTTTGATAAGCAACTTAAGTGATGACAAAGCAAAGCACACTGATAATAGAAGCAAGAGATTTTTGTCAAGGCTTCTTTCTGAAAGTGGCTTTTCTCTGAAGAGACGATTCAGAACCTAGGCTGGCTGTTGTAATCTTAGTTTGACTGTATTTATCACTATATTTTGGCAGCAATGTTTTGTGAGGGCAGTAGTTCTGCTCAATCCTTGTACATGTTTAGTCTGTGCTGCATAAATATGTAGCTTTGAACTAATATTTTTGGCAGCTTATGATAAGAGTATCAATTATTGTGGGATAATGAGTCATGTAGGAAGTTAGAGAAATACCAGGAATAAATCACGGGTAAAAAAACATGACAATCGTTGCAAGTTTAATAGTTTCATCATTGCACTTGTAGCTCTTTACAAACTTTTAAGGGCACACATTTGCCGGTCCTTTTTTTTTTTTTTGGGCTTTTCTGAGCGCAAGTATTTTTCTAGCAATCATATTCAAAGTATTATTAAGTACTAAATGTAAGCAGTTCTTGTGATAGAAATTAGAAGGGATCGTTAGACTCAACTTCTGCTAGCGCGTTTTTTTTTTTTTTTTTGGTGGGTTTAGCCACTAGTTTACGGCGCAATATTTTGAGGTTGGACTTTTTTAGTCCAGATTGCACTATTGTCATTTGTACATCGTGTGCTGCACACGGGTAGTAATCTATTCTAGTCTAGTTGCTTACAAAGCGCAACACTTGGAGCTTTATTTGTTTTTGCACAACATAGCTATAGAAACATGCTGCAATCATATTAAAATTTTTCATTTAAAAAGCATAAAATAATAAACTCAACCATAAAAACTGCTTTTGGTTTAGCAATGCCACGTGGTGTGTCCCCAGGCATGTCCTGAAGGGGGAACGGTGCGCAGTGTGTTGACAAATTCAGGAGAGTTAGGTATCATCTTGATGAGTAGACCAGTGAGAACTTGACACGTGGGGGAGTTCGGTTATTTTGAGAGCGTCGGCAATGGCTGCTTCCTTCATTTTGCTTTCATGGACGTTGACCGTCGTCCTGCCGTGGGATGAAGGAGGTATTCAAATCTGACTGGAATTCCACTCTCCTTCAACATATAGATAAAGCCTCCCACCACGCTTGTGAATGGTGTTCATATATATTATAATCAATTTCATTCCTGATGTGGCAGCTGATTTATTAGTTTTCGCTGTATTATTGAGCTTATATGATTATGATTATGATTGAAAACTCCCACTTTCGATTCCCGGGTGTGTGGAGCCTTTCCTGTGGGAAGGGGTAGTGGGTGTTTGGCTACCACCCATTCTTAATATTATATTCAATTTCTTAATAAAAATAGGATAGTTTCACATTCAATTTCATCATAAATATATTTACCTTTTTTTTAAGACAGTCATAGAAGTAGTTGTACATTTTAAATGTTTCATCAAATAATAGTTCTAGTTAATACATATGATTAGCAATGGTATTTTAGGGAAACAATCCTTATTATTTCAAATAACTAACTTAACTAATTTTCTTAATCTACTAAAATTACTCAACTAACTTTTATATTAAGAACAGGAGGTAATATAAGACTTACATAACTAATTTACAAATATTAAACAAACTAGTTAATTATTTATTTGTAATCGATGTGTTATTTTTTTTTCTAAATTATCCTTATTAATTATATGCATTAGAACCATTCTTTGATGAAAACTATTGAAAATGTGTAATCACTCTAAGGACTATTTTGGAAAAAAAAAGAAGATAAATGTGGAAAACAAAATAAATTGAGGTTTTATAGTTAGGATCAAATTAAATCTCTAGTTTGCTCTTATATTAAAGACCAAAAGTAGTATTTCTTTTTTTTTTGGTGGCAAGACCAAAAGTAGTATTTCATGTTTAAATTTCATTGATTATATTATACGACTTACTGTCATTAATGTAAAAGCTAGTTGGAAAGTTGGATTTGATCCTAAATATAATATCTATATTCATTTTGCTTCTCATCTTTTTCCAAAATATTCTTATTAATTGTATAAGGAGTTCCCACCAAGAGACACATAATTGAATGGGATCATTTAGGAAGACTAACACGTATTTGTGACAAATAACAATTTAACTGATTTTTGTAATATTCCTAAATTAATTGTTTAACTGGTATATTAAGCATGGGAGGTAGTATTTTCCATGTAAGATTATTTAGGCGAACAAGAATATGAATCTAATTAGTTAGAAAAGGTGAATCTGTGTAAAATTATACCCAAAAAAAAATCATTATAGCCTAATTCTAAATCCTAAATTAAAGTGTTGGATATCAAATGAAGCACAAAATATTTTAAAGTGTTAGCTAGATGCAACTTAAAAAAAAAAAAACTCTAGGGTGTGATCTTAGACTTAAAAAAAAATTAAAAGAAGAAAGGTGAATCATATTGAGAATGCATGGAACAATGGACGTGACAGGATTGATTTGGTACATGACATGTGAGCCTGTGGATAGGGAAGTGGCAGGAATCAGTTGAGGAGGACGGGTCCGTTCCGTTAGGAGCAGCCCCTCTGTGTCTGCTGAGAATGACTCCATCCACAACCCCACACACACGCCCACCACCAAAGTCACCCTAACAATTATCCGTTCTCTTAATAACGTGTCTTCTAAAAAAGACCCGAAGGCATGCAAATTTGTTGGGATTTCCATTATAAGGTGCTCTTGAGTATAAATCACTTGACGAGTTAACTGTTTTGTTAGCTCGTGTGAATTAGCTGAAAGCAGGGACAAGGAAAAGTACATATATACAAGACATTTAGAAATGATGGGGAAGGTACGTGGTCTCCACAGAGCATTCAATTATTAAGCATCCGGGTGCAATGCATTCTACTTTCCCTGCCTCTCATCACTCATCACTCTTCAGTCTTCACACCTTTTCAGTTTAGGCCCCCCCCCCCTCTCGTTTATTTCTTTCCCTCCACATATTCTCTCCTACAACTAAATCAAACCTGCTGCATACGATGTCTCTCTCTTGCCTTTGATGTTCTGACAAAAAATTAGTTTCTGAAAAACGTAGGAGAGTGTTTAAGGTGGGTGGCATGTCATTGCATAATAATTGAATGGTGGGGGTGGGTGTGTCATTGTTGTGATAAAAGAATGCGGCCGTACTGTAGACATAATTAGTATCAGACACCCACGCACAGTGCTTTTTTTTTTTTTCCCCTGCTGCGTATGACTATTTTTTTTATTGAGAGTGATCATGTTTAGTGTATTGTCAACACTAAATACAAGCACTTTTTTTAGTGGGATTCAAATTTTGATTCGTCATATTGTGAGGGGCTAATCCTTTCTGATCCAATCCTTATTAGTACAAAGCACATGTTTGGTCTGCAGATTCCATGCAGTTTTTGCTAAGGGACCAAAAAAAAAAGAAAAGAACAAAAGCATTGTTTGCTCGGCGACGGCTTCCTTCTCCCAGCCTCACAACCACAACAGTGAATCTGCTCAATTAATACACGAACCCATCAAACATTTCATATCCTTAGTTTGGGCTAAAATATACGTTCGGCTTTTCAAATTTATATCAAGTTTTGATTTAATCTTTTAAATTTTTCATTTAAAAAGTTTAATCCTTTAATTTTATAAAATATATTTTTAGTCCTTTAATCCCATTACTGACTCAGCATATTGAAATATTAATTCTGCAATTACATACGGACAAAATATGTTTAAATTTGAAAATGTAAAAATAATTATATTAAAGAATTAAATTTAGAGTATATTTTGTTACTATTTATATTTAATTGAGAGTCACTATTTAAATTTGTCAATTAACCATTTATGAAAAGTACAACTTTGTAAACTTTAGACATGAGACTAAATTGAAACTTGATGCAAATGTAAAAGAACAAATATATATTACCTCTGATCCTAATTATAAGATCTTGTTTATAGGTTATAAACGAGCTAGGTCATACATATTAAGACCGGAGGTATTACTTAATTAGCCCTCCCGTATGTACTACATAAAATTGGCCTGAGTCCATGCGAATTATCATAACTCAAGGATAATATGATTTGTTATCGTTTTTATATTAAATATGTATGCATGTGTTGCTAAATATTGAAAAAATAATACCACAAAAAAAATTAACAAAAACTTAAATATTTTAAATAGGATTACCTTTGGAAGAAAAAAAAAAGATGCTTGTACATACGGAAAACGATTGGCGTATGCATTTTTCATTATTTTATCACAGAGGTTAGTTTCACTTGTAAACTGAAAAATTTAAATTTAATTACTCCGGCCACTTCGATTCATATCTTTGGGAGTAGTGTCATATTTTGTACCATAACACGTCTTAAAAAACAATACTAACTTGAATCCATATAAGAGTTAGTTTTTTTAGTCTTAAATATAAAACTTAAATACACTTTATCTCTCATAATTATTCACTACTCGTATTTTTTTAAAGTAATCTTTGTAGTAATTATATATGTTAAATATTTTATTAAATGATAGTTTTGGCTAATAATAGGATAGTAAAGGTTTTTGAGGGAAGATAACACCTATTTATTATAAATAACTAATTTAACTAATTTTTTAATCTATTAAAATTAGTTAACTAATTCTTATATTAAAGACTAGAGTCAGTAATTTATTAATGATTTTGTTTTGAAAATACCCTTTATTAGTTAAATATGACTTAACTAAGGGTTAGAATTAAATGTTGTTTTTTTGAAAGTTTATGCTAACTATAAGAATCATTTTGTAACGTAATTTTTAAACAAAAATTAAGGTTTTTTTTAACTGTATCTGATAGGTTCATTGATTATTCAATATTTATTTCAAAAACATACTATAAATTGAAATAAAGGGAGGAGATCAAAACAATTCTGGGAAAGAGATCAACTGATTAGGAGACAAAGACGACACATAGCAATCCAAGAGCTAATAAATGTGCGCAACCACTTATCTATTGAGCAAACTTTCAATCATTAAATTAAATGCCGATCATTTTAAAGTTTTATTTTTTGTCAAAGGGTCTTCAATCATTTTACAGACACTAATAAAAGATAAGTCTTTAATTACTAAGGTATTAAAATGGAAGAAAAAAAATACTAAGGTATAAAATTAGGTCACTTTTTTTATTTGTGCCCATAATCTTTAATCAATTAATAAATACTTGTTTTGAAGTTATACTTAATGCTCTCTGCACGCAACTTCTAAAAAGTCAGTGGTAAAAATGACCTGATTATGAAAATATGATACAACTAATTCTCTCTGTTTTTTTTTCATAAAAGGAGATTTTAGAAGACATCTCATAACAATGGACGGAGAGAGTAGATATGGATCTCCCGTGTGCTATACTTAAACAAATTTTTGGTTTCGAGGCCTCAACTTTTTTTTGTTGTTGTTGTTATATTGGGAGGTCTCAGGTTTATTTCTTTGATTTATTTTACTGACAGGAATTACTAACCAGTCACAAGAAAAAATATTATTAATAAATGATATTATTTCATTTCGGAGTAATGTAATTCATATGGTCATAATTAAAATGGAAGAGTTGATTAGTGGATACTTCTTCCATCTCTTATTATAAGATCTTTCTAACTAAATTACGCGGTTTAAGAAAACAGTTAAAATTAGTTAAAAACAACTAATATGTAGCAAACGTAATTTCTTTTTCAAATATACCCCTATATATAAATGGGTAAATGTGAGAGAGTAATAGTGAGATAAATAAAGAAAGAGAATACATTAAATGCTATAAATTAGGGGTAAAATACGTAATAATGCATTAAATACTTAGACAAACTCAAAGAGTATCTTATACTCCCTCCGTTCCTTATTATAAGAGACATTTGATGCTTATGGCATGTTCCTATATATAAGAAACACTTACAAGTTGTCTCTACTTTTTTGTGTTGATTTACTATTTTACCCATATTTATTATCTCCAACTCACACTCTCCCTCCCTCCCACTTCTCTTTCTTTTAATAATTTAATTGTTCTCTCTCATGCTCTCTCTCCTTATTAATGAGGGCATTTTTGAAAAAAAATTATACTTTTTACACATTAATTGTTTTAAACTAATTTTAACTGTTTTTTTATCAACGTATTTCGGTTATTTGTCTCTTATAATAAGGAACGGAGAGAGTAAAAAGGAATAGACCCATTTAAAAAATTAGATCTTATAATAAGAGACAGAGTAGAATATTCAATTATAGGTAATGGAGCTAGGTGTCAAAAAAATTAAACGAGTTCAAAAGATGAAGAGCCTGGCTTCACTTGGTAATAATTGGTATCCTTCTTAGATTTAATTACTAGTAATATGACTTGACATATATAATAGTTGAGCTAAGCCCTTATCCCGCTGAGCACCCACTTATTAAACATTAACGGCAAAAATAAATCTCACTCATAACAAATATCATCACCAAATCCTTTTCTTTTTATTTTTAGCAAAAAAAAGAAAAGGGGGGAAAAGGACAAGGTGGCTGATTTCATTTTTAACTTTGTTGTTATTATAGTGATATAAATATAATAATCCCCATCCTATCTAATAATAGCAAATTGTATCTGTTTTTCCCTCCTTGCCTTGGATCACATTATTTTTGCGCTTACCGGGTCCACTCTCGTGTGGGGGGTGGCGTTATGTTCCCTGTATAACTAGTTCAATTAGCTCAAGATTTTATCTTGAGAATACATTTACAAAGTAATGGAAACCAAGTTAATGACAAAATATATTTCTTTTATTTTAAAAAAAAAAACTGAACTGTCAAGTGAAACCTAAACTTTGAATCACATATAAATAAGTCCATTTAATCTTTATTACCTTTGACTATAAAATCTAATTATTTAAATAATGATGTTTGTCGTGATATATACTACCTCCGGTCCTTAATATAAGACCTTGTTTGACTTTTATTTTGGTCCTAAATATAAGACCTCAATTCACTTTGTCTCTCATATTTTTTTTCTTCAAAGTAACCCTTCTAATAATAAGAGTTCTAGTCAATACACTTGATTAGCAAGAATATTTTAGGAAAGACAACGCCTATTTATGACAAATAACTAACTCAACTTATTTCCTTAATCTCCTTAAATTAGTCAACTGGCTCTTATAATTAGGACTAGAAGTAGTACTAGTAACATTTGAAACTTAATTCATGCAAGAAAAAAGTTTTATCTCAAGAAAAAATTATAACAATAAATTTTGCTGAATTTCTTATTTTGTATAAATATTTATACTGTTAATTAAGCTATGAAAAATTAATTATTTAGTCCTTATATTTTTTATTTAGTTAAAACTCAATTTTTAAATTTTAAGCTGATGCAATTGATTCTTATAGTTTTAACTCGATTAATATGCCCCGTAACCCTGTCTTGGTTCAACCCAAAACTTAAAATTTTAATTATTTAAATATCCAGGGGTATTAAATTCAAGTTTAGGAAAGAGGCATGATGGGGTGAAAATTACAAGGAAGAGGGCGAACGGAAAAAGTGAGATAGGGAGCGAAGAAGGTGAAGAGGGAGAGGCGTGGATGGTGACGAGAGAGGAGGGAATAAGGAGCAAGTCATGAAGTTATGAGAAGAGTGGCTGAAACCAGCCTGGGGCGCCTTTTTGCTGAAGAAGCCAACCACGTTTCCTTGTATCTTCCTCCACAATATGCCCCACCTTTCTTCCTCTATTTAGCCTCTTCCTTTCACTCTCTCCCCCTTTACTTCATACTTATCTCTTCCCACTTTAACTCCCCCCAAACCTCCTCCTCTTTTCCCGCTCCTTTCTACTATATCTCCTCCCTTCCTTCCTTCCTTCCTCCCCTGCATTTCTCACCTTCAATCCCCCTCCACGACATGGCTTCTCACGCAATTGATCTGCCTCCCGGCTTCAGATTCCACCCCACTGATGAAGAACTCATCGTCCACTACCTCTCTCCCAAGGTCCGCGACCCCTCCTTCTCTGCTCTCGCTATTGCCGACGCCGATTTGAACAAGTCCGAGCCTTGGGATCTTCCCTGTAAGTCTCTCCCACCCCTCTGATCAACTTCTCTGCTTTCTCTCTCTCTTCTGTTTAAATTTGAAGTTGTTGTGGAATGTGCAGGGAGGGCCAAAATGGGGGAGAGAGAGAGGTATCTTTTCTGCGTCAGAGACAGGAAATACCCCACCGGGTTGAGAACGAACAGGGCCACCCATGCCGGCTACTGGAAAGCCACCGGCAAAGACAAGGAGATCTTCAAAGCGAAGGCTCTCATCGGCATGAAGAAAACTCTGGTCTTCTACAAAGGCAGGGCCCCCGAAGGTGGAAAAACCAATTGGGTCATGCACGAATATAGACTCCACCCCAATGATCTCCCCTCCAAGGTCAAGTTTTCCTCCTCTGTTTTCAATTCAAGTTTCAGATATATTTATATGGGACACTGAAAGTTGATGACGATGACTGGTCTGTTTTGTTTCAGAACGAGTGGGTTCTGTGCAGAGTATTTCAGAAGATTAGCAACGGAGGGAGGAAGATGGTGGAGATTGGAGTTGGTCCTGAACTGCCTCCATTAATGGACGCCTCGCCAAATCAAACAGAGTTTGGGGAGTCCTCTCACGTGACCTGCTTCTCCGACCCGATGACCCGGGACGACATAGTGGATAGCCAGGCAGGGAATGCATCATCACAGTTGCCAAATAGCTTTCTGGGTGAAGATGAGCAGGAGATGATGATGATGAGGATGACGACGCTCGAAAACAATGGATGGGGAGAGTTCGATGAAGGAGATATATGCTCTGTGATATATAACAACAACAGCAGCAGCAATGGCATGATTCAGAATCAAGAGTACTCGTCAGCTTCTGCTGGGCCCGTCGACATTGGTTGCCTCTGGAATTACTCCTCTTAGAAAACTGAACAACACATCATGGAGCATCGTTGAAAAAGAAAAATGATTGCTGTACATAAATTTCCTGCGACTGCATCTCATATATATAAATATATATATAATTTGCAGGAAAAATGCATGCATATTATTAAGAATTAGAAAGTGATCAACTTGTTAATCTTAAATCTGCGGTTGGCTACATAGCACTAATGTATAAATTTGTTGGTGGCTGTCTTATATGAGATTTACCTTTATTTTAGATGGAATTTTCTCTTCTCTTTTTTTTTCCCCTGATTATATGTGTGTCTTGAGAAGGCAAAAGAGAAGGAAACAAAGGTGAATGAGATGGAGGAAGCGAATAAGTGGGAAGTGGGAATGGGGTTTGCTTGCGAAGGGTGATATAAAGGAAATGAAGGAATATATATTTATATATATACTCTTCCGGTCCTAATTATAAGACCCAATTGACTTATTTGAAGAGATTAATGAAGTAAGTTAAGTTGGTTATTTATAATAAATAAGTATTGTCATTCCTAAAATATCCTTGCTGATTAAGTATATTGGCTAAAACTATCATTATTAGAAGGATTATCTTGGAAAAAATGCATAAATATAATAGACAAAATGGATTGGGGTCTTATAATTAGGACCAAATAAAAAGTCAAATGGGGTCTTATAATAAGGACAGAAGGAGTATATATATATTTATAAAAGAAAGGGGAGTTTGATTTGGTAGATTAGTTAGTGAATGATTAGCGATGGAATGCGTCATCTTAGTCCCTCTATCCCTTTGTTAGGCCACCAACTCAGAGTTGCATGGTGATTGGTGAATGGCGTGTTGTTCACAAACACTTGCAGCAAAAATCAGAGCCACCCAAAAGAGCCTACATAATTCGGATCCATGTTTTTATTTTTATTTTTTCATATGAGAGAGTCTTTTATTCCAATTTCATATATTATTAAAATCATATAAAAAGATATAACTGTGTATGAGCTGCTACTTCCGGTCATAATTATAAGACTTTGTTTGTAGATCACAAACGAGATCTTATAAATAGAACCAGAGGTAGTACATATGTGTGTATATCTTCTCTGACTTTTTTTTTTTTCAATTTTTGATTAATTAATTGCTCGTTCCTGTTACACTCATGGAAAATTCCCAATTTAATCATATATATTTAGAGAGTTTTTCTTGTAATTTTTAAAAATAAGTCATGATATATTCAGTTTAAGAATTCTAGTCCGATATTATATATAAACTCTCCTATCTATGCCTGAAATATTGATATTAATATCCACCGTCACAAATTGAGGAAAAAGAAAAACATATAGCATCACAAAAATTACAAATTAGTGAGATAAATTCAAGATTAAAATATATACCAGTATTTATTAAAAGGAATGATATAAATTAAATGGGCAGACAGCGTCGGATATGTCACACTCAAGTATTCATGGACAGATCAAAGGAGCTATATATCACACAAGTACCAAGTGGATATGTATGTTCTCTGTTCACAAGTATGTAAATTCTTAAGTTTTAACACATAAGGTTTATTTAATTATCATCATGTGCAACTTGCATTTATTCTTAAATGTGATGCATCATATCTGAAAAGATCTTGACGTATAACAATAAAGAGATACAGATGCTCCATTTACAAATCACTCACACCAGGCATAAATTAAATTATTATTTCTAATATGAATATCCTACTTGCCACGTACATTATCTTTTGAAAAAAATAAAAATGCAAGCTTCTTCATTTTCTATATACTACATGATTAAAAATATTCTTCGTGAATACACAATACACAACACACACCCACACACTAAAGCTATCTAGAAATATTACCTCCGTCCTTGATATAAGAGCTCATTTGATTTTTATTTTGGTTTTAAATATAAAACCCCAACTCAATTTGTTTCTTATATTTATCTATTTTTTCTTAAGGTAGTTCTTGTAATAATAGTAATTCTAGCCAATACATTTGATTAACAAGGATATTTTAGAAAAGATAATACATATTCATTATAAATAACTAACTTAATTAGTTTTCTTAATCTATTTAAATTAGTTAACTAATTCTTATATTAAGGATCGGAAGGAGTACTTTAGAACCAGGAACTATTGTGTTGTCACCTAATCATGCATGAATCAACATCATGATTAAGTAAATTTGCTATATATGAAATTGTTCTTCGATATATCCATTAAAAGCCAGTCGTCAATATTTCACCAAAAAAAAAAAAGCCGGTCGTCAACAGTAGCGGGACGCATTGGCGTTTGCTTCGTAAGGGTGAAAATAAATATGGTTTTCCTAAGCATACACGTAACTATATGTAATTATTACTATGATTCATGTAGTAGTGGTGGTGGGATATATTGTCTGGCTTCCATGAATCAGTTTGAGACATTATTGTAGTATTTGTGTCGTTTAATGCATGTGCTGACAAAAATAAGAGGACAAGCTTGGTGGTGTAAGCTTGGTGCCATATGATAAATAGAGTACTAGTATATATAGTCACTTCTTGGGAGTTGAGATTCGGTTTCCGATGAAACACTGTTCTAGTCCATAACTGCTTCATGGCTTCTTACGTTAGTCTCATCAAACCTTCTTAAACAACTCCATCTTCCCTTGTGAAGCCTTCATATATAATGACATATGGTTTAAAAAATTAGTATTTTAATTCTATTTCATCATACTATGTCTTAATACTTGTATATGAAAAAATAGTAAGAGTGAATAAAATGATATATGAGATATTCAATTTTTTTCCATTACATCATATTCATTTCTTTCTTGCTGTTCGCTATTACAAATTTTTAAATACATGACGTCCAATACTAGATAGTTAGAACACAGCCCGGTCATATATGATGGGGCGGAGGTTTTATTATATTATGCATAATGAAATTACTTTTTACGTTGTAAAGAATTTTCAGTAAAAAAAATATTACTCCTCTGGTCTTTAATATAAGACATATTTAACTAATTTAATTAGATTAAGAAAATTAGGTATGTTAGTTAATCATAAGAAATATGATATGTTTTTTTTAAAACACCATAATTATTTTTCTTGATATCCTTTTTTCTTCTTCTATTTGTGATTATGGTTAAGAGAGTATTCATAGGAGTAATTTAAGAAAAATTGATAAATATAAGAAATAGATCTTATATTTAAGACCACAATCAACTCAATAATTAGGTCATATATTAAGAACCGGAGGAGTATATTGTATGGAATCGGTGTTCATTGGCTAATGTGATGCACTGTAAATTTTAGGCACCCACAAATTATGTATTTAAATATTTAAAATTACGTTCGCGGGAATTCTAGTGTTATGGTATTAAAATTTTAGGTAGGTTTGGGCCTCATAAATTACACAAAATCTATATTAAAAAAAAGAGCATATTATTCACTTTTTATTTTAAAAAATGTGACGCACGCTCCACCTAGATTTTATATTTCATATTCATATTAATAATTGACACTATTAATCATAGTATAAAATATACATTAATTAACCGACGAAAATGTTTTGAAGCATTGCTACAATATTGATTTCTTTGTTGTTATAATCGTGACCAATAGCACTGATGATTAATGTCCATATATAGGATAAACAAATCTTATCCCACCTTGGAGGCTTTAGGTTCCACTTTGTTCATGAATTTTCGCTTTAAAAGGCTCTTTGGCATCAAAAAGGTGGAAATGATCGATCAGAGTGATTAAAGAAGGACTATGACTAACTAATAAGCATCTATTCTCCTTGGAAAAATGTTATAATTGGTCTCATGATTGATGCTTTTATCTCGTCTAAAGATCACGAAAGCAAATGTCTCTTCTTCTTTTCTTCTTTTCTTTTTTTTTTTTTGTGAGGATATGTGTTTGTTACCATATGAGGATATACAGCTCAGGTGATTAATTCCGGGTAGGTGTGTACAAATAATACGAAAAAGAGAAAATTCCGATATTTTTCCGATCCATTGATTGATGGAACACTTGTTTTGCCCCCACGCAAGAAGATCTTCTTCGCTTGAATATGAAATACGAGTGAATTATGCTTTTTTTTTTTATATAAAAATGGTATTATAATTAATCACTTCACTGTGAATTATTAAAAGAAAACTTAACATATACTGTCTCTCATTTTTCAATTTGATACTTGTGTGTTTCTTTCTCAATTAAGTCCTTTAATTTTGTTTTGTTAGTACTGTTAGTTTCAGTGTTCAAATTCACAGAAACCCTGGAAATAACAATGAGTAATCTTAAGCCAATTCTTGTATTAAAAAAAAAAGAAAAGAAAAAGAGTTCATAAAGAAAGAGTCAGCGGTATTAACAAAGCAAAATTAAAAATTTAATTAATAAAAAAAATATAAATACCGAACAAAAAATTGAAAGAAATAAAGATACTTCCAAAATGATTTTCGCATTCTTAAACAATATAGTATATAAAATATTACTACCGTCCCTTGATGCAAGAGCTAGTATGGTATTCAATTTGGTCCTAAATATAATATCTTAATCCATTTTTTCTCTCATGTTTATTTATTTTTTCTAAGATAATCCTTATAATAGTTACACATATTAAATGTTTATCAAATAATAATTCTAACTAATATACATGATTAGCAAAAGTCTTTTAAGAAAAATAATACATATTATTACAAATAACTAATTTGATTAATTTTTTAATCTATTTAAATTAGTTAATTACTTTTTATATTAACTACTGAATACAGTTCATAATAAATCATCGACTCGTGATAATGAATTCTGGGCCGGATTTATTTATTTATCTTGGAAGTAGAAGAAAGAAAAGCAATAGAAATTTTAAAAGGAGAATGCAACGCAGTAGTAAAAGGTGGGAGTCTGAAAGCCTGACATGAGTGCTTCGATCATCGAATGGGTTTGTGGGCCATTAACGGTCGCATCGTAGCCCGTGGGCCCCCCTTCCTTTTTGTCCCGTCCACCATGGGGCCGACGTCTACACGTCTTTCACTATTCACGGATTTGATTGATACCCTACCCTCTTCAAAAAATGGTATGCATAATTTTACCCAGAAAAAAATAAATAGATAGAAAAGAAAAGAAAATTATATAATTTTGATATTTATTTTTTCTGCTATCACGTACGTTTTTGCAATAAATATAAGAAATTAGACAAATGATATGAGGATATAATGCCACGTGGAAATAGCTTTAATTAATAAAAAAAGAAGATACCTTTCTTTCTTACAGAAGCCAGGTGAGA